GAGAGAGAGAGAGAGAGAGAGAGAGAGAGAGAGAGAGAGAGAGAGAGAGAGAGAGAGAGAGAGAGAGATGTAACAAATGTCATTCCCATTAAATCCTGTGCTGAAGTGTCACTGTGCAGGAGTCGTAGCAATCAGTGGTTGAAAGGATACTGGCAAATGGTGCACATACAACTCCTGGTCCGAAGAAAAAGTTTACGGGATGAGGAAGGACAAGAAGAGTACGAAGTTGAAGTAGGGGAAGGACCAGGAGTAGGAGGCGGCAAAAACCCAATGTCAAAATGAACTCGCATGAGATGGTGTTGTCTGGAAGTGGCAACCTGCCCATTGCGTGACACTGACTACTTTTTTTTTTTTTTCTCGATTTATGCGTGTCATCCTTACGCAGGGGCCATGCTAATCTTCCCTGTGTCGTTCCAATTTTAACGGATGCTTAACCGTATGGTTGCATAAATATGCCAAGAAACTCAATGAGCTCGTGGGTTCTGAAAGACATGTCAGAGGACATTGCTCCTAAGTAAGCCTAATCTGGTGTCCATTGCCTCACTCCTGCTCACTACCTATTGGGACAGGTTTACTTACTCGGTTGCATGGATGATTTCTCTGCATTGGCCTGTGGTTTGCTTGTATGCTTTTCGTGTCTGGATGGGTGTGGGTGTGGGTGTGGGGGCTCTGCCTTGGCTGCTTTTGGTCACATTGCTTATAGGAATCTGGTTCCTCAGATGAGGAGTATGAGCCTGCAAGTTCACCTCCACATACTTGTGCGAGCGAGGCGAACACCCAGCACAGCTGGGATTTACCTCGTAGCCCCATAGTCAGGCAGGCTGGAATGGGAGCCCCAAGGATGGGGGAAGGAGAGGGTGACGACAGTGAATGTGATGGTCAAGTAATAGCTTCTGCTGGCTCAGCCAAGAAACCCCCCCTGGATAAAAGGCAAGGTGAGTGTGCTACTTTAGTGTGCTACTTTACTCTTATCTTTAACCATTTCTATAGAGAAGTATTATGCCCAACTCAACCGTTTGGTGTGCCATATCTGTTTTGAATGTTTTCTGCGAAGGGAGGGGAAAGAGAGAGGGAGAGACAATAGCCAAAGAATAAGATGAGTCACACTAATAACAGATACACACGTGGTTAACGGGGACTCCCAGTTTGGACGAGAGCACATCTGTAAGGTTGACATTTATCATCGTGCTATCGAAACCACATAATTTTTGAGTAAACGAATGAAAAATCGTTCTTGCGTCTCCCTGCTGAACTTTGGGCCAAAATGACCAACGTGAGTTGGAACTTTTGGGGGTTGTTGTTCATTAATATAGCGTATCCTTGATTGGAGGAGCCAAGGTAGGACTGAGTGAAATAGCATGGTGTTTGGCATACTGATTGTGCAAGAAATGGAGAACTGTTTCACTGAGTGTACTGTTACCCCTCAGTTCTCAGTAATCAGTTCATTCTCGCCTTGCCTGTTGCCTCACTCATATCCTCTCTGTTACGTTGCTCGCTGAGAGAGAGAGAGAGAGAGAGAGAGAGAGAGAGAGAGAGAGAGAGAGAGAGAGAGAGAGAGAGAGANAGAGAGAGAGAGAGAGAGAGAGAGAGAGAGAGAGAGAGAGAGAGAGAGAGAGAGAGAGAGAGAGAGAGAGAGAGAGGTGATGAGGAATTACCGTGGCTAAGAAGTATGTGCAGATCTTTGTGGAAGAGATCGGTGCGCGGCTTCTGACTGTACATCTGTTGTCATTAAATATGAAAGACTGTCTTTTCAATTTTTTTGCGAACATACATACAGCTCTTACAATGGCTTTGCAAAGCGGTCTAGATTTCTGACAGTTGACTGTTGGGCTGTGGAACTACTGAGGGGGATTCTCACAGCAGCACCTTTTCTGCTTATTGGATTGCCTGCAGCATGCTTCTTTGTTTATCTGCATCATCCACCTGTTTGTCTGCATGAATGGGTGTTTGTCTGACTTTGATTGCAGCGACAAGGTGTTGGGGTTCAGTCAGTGAAAGTAACACGGTGTGGAAGATGCATGTAGGCTGTTGTGTCGCAGGCATCTGTCAGCTTCTCAAGCAATGACAGGTTGCAAATGATCGATCGCAGACCCTGCCCATCTTTGCAACCCCCTCATGCCCCTAGCTGCCCACACCTCAGAGAAAAAAGGTAGAACTTTAGAAATTATGTGAATTTATATCTGATAATGATGTGATGCGTTTTGCATGACTTGTGCAGACTGCAGGAAGGAGAAATCATTAGGGTTGCTTAGCCAGAAGTTTGTCATGTTGTTTCTGATCTCAAAGGTTTGTTCATATCCCTACTCCGTGTCTTGCAAACCACCGTTTCCCAGCAGATGAGCTACCAGTTAAGACCGAAGAATGAAAAACATGGCTTCTTTAAAGTTCTTTTTGAAAAGGACAAGATAATAAGAGGTGCAGCGTCTTTTTGACAATGTAGCACACAACCTATGATCTGTTACTACTGTCTTCCCCCGAACATATTGCATATGGTTGTATTTGAGTTTTTGAAAGAAAAAAAACAATGATTCAAATAGAGTGCATATGTGTTGTATTGAAATATACCAGCTGTTCGAACAGAATGCATGTGTGTTGTATTCAAATAGAAAGCAACCTGTGTTGTATTCGTTGACAACGCATATGCGTTATGTTCGGGGGAAGAGGGTAGCACACTGAGGAAACTGTCGAAAAGCTGCCTTCCTTTTTGCCTCCATCATGACCCTTACTGCACTTCGGCATCCCATTAACTGTCGGGGATGGAAGCTATGATACATGATATGATACATCAGGAGGACATGAATCAGTGCAATTCTCTGCATGAAATACCAGAGAAGCTATGGGCCTCTCTCCACTACTCACTACATGCACAAAAGACAAAAATCCTGGTGGTGTATCTTTCCATGTTCTAGCAGAAGATTCACTCTGATTTTGCACATTTTGAAGGTAGTGGAGCGAGGCCCTACATAATACACAATATATATCCATCCCATGAACATACAGGAAATGTTGTATACAAAACTGCCATGGAACTAAGAATGTTTTGCTTTCCTCTTTTATTGCAAATACGAAACTCTTGAGATTATCCCCTTCCCACACTATGGTTCATCGTCAACACTTGCTACTGACCATGGGAGAACAATCCGGAACTGAATTTTGAGAAATGTGATACCCCTTCTGTCCGTTAGCCATGTTGTTGTGTTCATCTGAATGTATCTGGATTTGAATGTGTCTGTTTTTTTTCAGCAGTTCATTGGTGTACCCACCGAGTTAATTAGCTATGTCTTGTTTTGTTTTGTTTTTGTTTTCGTTTTTATTTTTATTTTTGTTTTTGTTTTTGTTTTTGTTTTTGTTAATGTTTTTGTTTTTATTTTTGTTTTTATTTTTGTTTTTGTTTTTGTTTTTGTTTTTGTTTTTGTGAAAGAAGTTTGCTTTGTATTTATACTTAAAACAAGGAGGCCGTGAGTCCCTCCGCATCTCAACCCGGAATGCTGAGGCCATTACCCAGATTCGGCTCGGCGCTGGAAACTGGGTCTAGCTTCCCAATGCCAAAACAAACTTTCAAAAACAGAAAAACTGGACTAACAAAATTTAAACAAATGAGATGCCGCTGGAGAACTTAGAGGAAGAAGATGCCCCCCATAAACCCTAAACCCTAGCCCCTCCTCTATGTTATTAATTTACCGATTTTGTCAGCACTTCCTTTGTTCGTGCCTCTGCCAATCCGATCATCAGAAGTGATGAAACTATATGTGGTGCTTCTCTTTGTACTCGGATCATGGACTGGACTGCTTCTCCAACAGCAGTAGTAGGGCTTGATGGGCTTAAACCACCAGTACCTTTCTCAGTGTTGGGGAAAACGGGAATATACGTCACATGGACTCACACCCCATTTTTCGGAGATCCCGTGGAGACCTGGCTGGAAAGAAAAAACAAAGAAAAGATTGGCACCCTACCGGCCCACGGTCAGGAAAAAAAAAAAAAAAACCCTACAAACTTCGAATCCAGCGATGTTGGGGAAGGCCCTCACGGAGGKGGAAGTCACACCAGTGTTATCTGGCCAGTATGTGTGGAATGTGTTTGGTGTTTTTTTTTTGTTTTTTTTTTCCCTTGTCGTTTGCTTTTGGTCCCGTGCCAGCGAGGCAGGGCATATTCCACGCGGGGCAGGCAACTAACTGCCTCACTGACATCATACTCACACTAATCCTGTATCGGACCGCGATCACAGTATAAGGGAATTGTTTTTGTTTTTGTTTTTGTTCTTCATTTGTTCTTCATCGGACAGAGGCCCTCACTGAGGGCACAGTCTCACTAGCACCTCATAGAATGCATCTGATGGATATCATGGCATCATGGTAGTTTTCGGATGTAACTGCTTTTTTTTTAAGTACCAGAAAAGAAAATACAATGGGACCCAGGCTTGGCAAAACTCGGTGCGCACTGAAATTCAGGTTCGACAAAAACAGGATCGGAGTCTGCCTATTGTCTTACAATAGCAGGAAGTAAGTGGGCAGAAACAAAGCAAAATGGTTGGGCAGCAAAATAAAGTTTACAACTTTACATTCTAAAGAACAAACACAATTGAAAAACATGGGAAAATTGAAGTTAGGAATAGGATGGAAACAAACAAGTATCAAAGGAATTGTCAAGACAGCTAAGTGGATCATAGAAGAGAAAAAGGGTTTGCGAGAAAGAGAATTATGGAAACAAAACAGAGCACTTCTCTTCCTTGTGCTAATCCTCAATCAACACAATCTGCAATTCACTGAATTCAGTGTTCCTGCAGTGTTGGTGAAGGATGCCTTTTTGTTGCTAGGCTGTGTGTTTTTGAACTATCTCGACTAGTCTTCCTACTGCTTTTGTAGATTACGCTCTCTTTTGGTGTTGTTATCAGGGAGACTGACTGGGCAAACTTCTTTGTTCCACTGCTGTCGTCAATTGTGCAGACGCGTGTTGTGTCGCTAGATGAAGCTGCAAAGGTTCTTTTAGGTGACTGCACAGATTCAGGAAAACTAAAGAGTAAGCTGCTTATAATCTGTCATTTCCTTGCTATGTTTATAAGGAAATGCCGCCTGCTTCGCCTTTGCACCTCTTTTTGTGTGGGGAAATTGGGAATCGTAATCAGAATTAGGGGATTCAGATGAGAACACTGCTGCCAGTTATCGATTAAGGATCATGCCTGCTGTACCCCTCTCTGCTGCATTTTCCTTGGTTGGCAGTATACAGCGCTGCCGATTTTGACTTCTTTGTGGAGGACGTAGTTTCCTTTGAACTGGCAGTAGGTGCGAAGCGCTGGTCTTGTGGTGTAAGGCGATTTCACGGATTGCCGTCATAATGGGATCAGATGTTTTCACATCCGACAATCGGACCCGGATACCTGAAATTGTGCTTTTTTACCTAGTTGCAGTTTGTCATGCTGTTGCTTTTTGTTGTTAGGCTGTGTGTTTTTGAACTATCTCGGCTAGTCTCCCTACCGCTGTTTTGCTTGTGATGGAGTCCTTGGATGCGTATTTGCTGTGTGATTACCTGTTTGTTTAATCTACAATACTATAAGAATCGCTATTTCTTATCTCACGGCCTGAAACGCAGGCCGAAAGCGTTACCGCGGACGGCCCAGATCGCAGGCCGATGAGAAAGTTTTATCATCGGCCTGTTACCGGCGCGGCCCAGATCGCAGGCCGAAAGCGTTACCGCGGACGGCCCAGATCGCAGGCCGATGAGAAAGTTTTCTCATCGGCCTGTTACCGGCGACGGCCCAGATCGCAGGCCGATCAGAAAACTTTATGATCGGCCTGCGATCTGGGCCGTCCGCGGCGCGTTACTGGCCTGCAATTCAGGCCGTGAGATATCGGTACCTGAGGCGCCCGTTCGCCTGCCCGTCGGCCCGTAATCGTGGCCGCCC